AGCTGAGTATGGGATGATTTTAGGGACATAATGAAAGTTCATTTTTTGGAGAGTGAGGAGATAATATTGTTCATTTGCATTAATGATTTTGGAGTAATTTGTTATGTGTGGCATGATGTTTGATGCTGCAAAAAATTGCAAAATATGGAAAGGGACAAAAGAATTAAGATGTGTTATGTACATGTATTGACTCCACATAGTGAATGTAACCGTGATGTACTGTAAACATTTACTAATAAAAATTTTAAAAAGAACGTACTCTAGGAAACAAATTAGGAAATAAAGAATTTTTTCACTTTCTGGATGGCATTAACATTAGGAAGATATTAATGATATAGACAAGCCTGTTTATTCCTGCCATTCATTTTCCGTAACATGTTTCAACATTATAGATGATTCTCCAGTTATTAGTGGATGATTTGCTTTTGCTTAAACTAAAAAATTAAGCAATTGTTTGGAAAAGTATGCAAAATTATGTCATGTGTTTTTTAGTAAAAATGCACATGCCAAGTCATCCTTTTAACATTGCTTTTTAGTTCCTCATGGGGTGCCTGATTTATCTATAAGCCATCTGTACTTGGATGAGAAATAGCGGTATCTTAAATTTAAGACGGCCAAAACAAGAATTTCCCCTCCACATCATACCATTTTCTCCCCAGGTTTTTACCATCTGGATAATACATTATCATTTATGAAAGTGATCCTATATTATAAAAATAATCCTATTATTATTAAGTAATCCGATTGCTCCTCCCAAGTTGTTTTCAGTAAGAATAAACAACAAAAATACCTTTTAACCACCCCTTATCATACTTTTTCTCCTAATCTTTCATACAATATTTAATCCACCAACAAACCCTGATGGCTCACCTCCAAAATGTATCCCAAATTTATCTATCTCTATGTCTGTTGTCACCAGGTAGTCCAGTTGTTGTTTTGTTCCTCCTGGATTATAGCATGGGCTTTAACCTGATTCCCTGTTCTTACTATCCAGTCTGCAGACAATGGCCTATGCAGTTTTTCAAAATGTGAATCAGACAGTACCTCCCAATTCCAAAGAATCCTACTGCAAGCACAAAAAGCATATCCCAGACTTTATGTAATTTGGACCCTATTTAAACATTGTCAGATCTTAATATCTCACCTCTTACTGTGTTTCAGCCTGGCTCCTACTGTCCTTTCTAGTCCTCTAACATGCTGAGCCTGTTTCCCATTTGCACCATTTTCACAAGTTTGAAATGCTTGGCATTGTAGTTTCAAGTGGCTACTTCCTTCTTGTTAAGTCTCAACTCAAATATTACCTGTTCAGTGGCCTTTCCAGATCTCCAAACCCAAATTAGTCACTCACTCAAGTCATTTTCCATCATTTTCACCTGTTTTACAATCACATCAGCATTTACTTTTTTTTCTGATATCATCTTGGATAATTAATGTTGTTTTGAATATTATCTATTTTCTGCTCCTTGTCATCTACCATGCTCTCTTCCTAGAATGATAAATTTTGGAGAAGAGAAACTTTGTCTAGTTTATTTCTGAATATTCAAACCTAGGACAGTGCCTGCCACTTTGAAGAATGCTCAATAAAGATTTGCTGAGTGAAATATTATATTAATAAAGATGGGTTGTGCGTAAGATGGGACTGTGTCACTTAACAGTCCTGAGTTTCAGTGGCTTCATCTGTAAAGCTGGAAACCAAATGAGATGATTTGTTTTGGTACTTCTAGTTATAAGATCTATGTTGGCAGTGGTACTAGATTCTAACTTAGAAGCATTATTTATTTTAGAATCTGTCAAAGTGTTTTAAAATGGAGACCTTGAAATTTAAGATAGGAACTCCTTTCACTTCTTTTCCTAAGCCTATCTATAAAAGCTCTATCGTTTACCAACTGCCCTCCTGTACAAGAGGAAAGAGTATCCTCAGGCTGCAACTCCATATAAACTTCAAATTCCCTCCCATGCTACATTCTCAGAAATCCTCAATCTTCTTACTTGTTCATTATTTTTTATATTTTCACAGGACTGGGATTAAAATCAGGGCTTCACACATGCTAGCCTAGAGCTCCACCACTAGGTTACACTCTCAGATATATTTTATTTTATTTTTGAGACAGGATCTCACTTAGTTGCACAGGCTGGCCAGGAACTTGAGATCCTCCTGCCTCACCTTCCTGAGTAGCTTGGATGAAAGGCATGTACCACACCTGCCTATTGCTTGTCAGTCTTTAGTAGTATTTTCTTCAGGCTCTTTCTTTTTAGCCCACAAATATCTTAGAAAAGACCCCACAAGAAACAAAATATAATAACCCTTCCTTTATCCTGTACAATCTCCTGGTACTGTTGTTTTCTCTCATTTGTTACCAAAATCCTGACAAAGGGGGTCCTATTTACTTTCTATTCATTTTGGAAACCACTTTAGTTTGACATTGTGGCCAATATCTAACTTACTTAATACCGTCAATATATACCTGACTGATGCATTTAGTGACTCATTTTCAGTTCTCCATATAGTTTATGTCTCTACTATCTTTGACATCTTCTTCTTGAATTATTTTTATTTCCTAGTTTACTGCTTCTAATGAAGAAGGTAGAAGTTACAATGCCTAGGATAATCTCAAGCACCAACAAAATTTTTCCATGTGCTATACAAACTTTCAATATCCTTCCAGTCATTTGTATATGTAAAAAGCAAATTTAAATTCACTGAGCCTTAAAACTAGGTTTTAAGTATGAGCAAATTTACTTTTGCACATTTTTGTATTCATTAAATTTAAGGAAATCCACCATGTAAATTTAGACATGATTAAATTATTCTCTGTGGACCTGTAATAAAAGTTGTTCACCATCTTATGAATTTACATCTTCAGTGGTAGAAAGGGGATTTGTATATGTATGATAGCATCAGTCTACATTTGTATGCCTCACAGTCAATAGAGTTCAAACATATATCCATGTATGCATATATATATGCATATCTGCATACTTGTACATATGTTCACATATATATATACACACATGAACATACATGTACATATATTTTGGATCCTTATAATAAGATCCAAATATGAAAAACTAATAATAATAAGTTGAATATTATATCTATTGTTGAAATACAAGCTTACTTATTAAAACAAGGCAGAAGCACCTGGGATTTTCACTCTATCGTTTAATGTGCATATGCCTGAACCATTTACACATTAAACCAGATGTTACTTTATTATAAAAGTATTTCCTTTATTTTTCATTTTTGGTGTTAAGGGTAGGCCATTGTATACTAGATTTTTGAAATTATATGTATACAATGACTATCACTTAATAATAATCAAAGGAGACTTTATAAAATACTTGTTATTAAACCAAATGTTGGTTTTTGAAGAGGCTGGGCATCTTTGTAGTTCTATGCCTGTAAAGAGTTTTTCCTCTAACTGCAATTGTCTATCTAGAAAACTCCCACCGGCAATAAGAAATTCCCCCTTCCATACTCTCATGTCTTCTTATACATGGTGGTAGAAAAGTATTTATTTATTATTTAAAAGCACTCTATCTGCCCATCTGCTGGCCATCAACTTTTGAAAGAGTGATGTTTTATTCTGTTTTTGTTATCAGGAGCTCGTGTAATACAATTATATGGATTGTAAGAAACTTAAGCTTAAACACTGTAAGAAACTCAACGATAAATAATAATGAAGCATTTCACTTTCTTGTCTTTTAGTCAAAACTCAAAGTTAGAAGTATTTATTAAAAGTTTAATTAGTTTAACAAGTTGATTTTTTTTTTCTTGGATTTAGGATTTTTTTTTGAGCTTCACACGTATTATTTCATTAGAGTCTCGAATTAGTCACAACAACCAACAACTTGAGAGGGAAAGATAATATTATTAATCATTCTTTTATAGATAAGGAAAGTAAGGCTTGAGAATTTATTTAAAGTTTGTAAAATCCAGGAAGAGTGTCTTATTCCATGGTCCTGCTCTTAACTGACCTAAAGTTTGAGCAGCATATTCTGGAAAAAGGAAAATTAAATCTAAACCTATTGATTTCCCTTGCCAGAGGAGGATTCTTGTCCTAAAACCATCCCTTGGTAGGGATCCAGTGTTGACATCCATTGACATCTGACCTCCTCTTGAGAAAAAGATGACTAAACAAATGAAAGACTGTGAAGGGTTCTTAGTTAGAAAAGGATAATGGATTTAAAAAATTCAGCACATTCAATTTATCTTCTTTCAACCTACTTCCACACCTTCTGCAAATCTTTCCATTATAGAACCCAGGAAATATATACAACAAAAAAATTAGTGGCAATTAAATGGAGGAGACAGCTTAAATGGAGGATAACTTAATTACCTTTGGATCAGAGTCCTTTGAGAATATGATTATAGTTATGGATACTCTATCCAGAAAATATATTCAGTATACATACATTTCTCATATCTAGTTGACGTTTCCAACTTTAAAAGGTATTTAGAACATAAAAAAATATATTTCAATATGGATTCTATTTAGGAGAAAGAGTTTTTGGGCAAGTATTCAAGAGAAAGTGTTCTCTTCAAATCACAATAATGAATTAAGAAAGAGACAACCTTGATGTTTGACAATTTTACACTCATAAACTTAATCTATAGAGATTTTACATCCTGGGAATATTTTGCATATGTACCACTTGTTTGACGTTTTAATTTATTGGCTAAAAGATGAATACTTTGAATCTCTTAGCAAAAATAGAAGAAATTTAAATTATTTGCAATGAAAAGAAATTCCATGTCATTTTATAGCATTTTCAAGGGAAAATGGGTTTCATGTGTGAGGTATAGGAAGTTTATAAAGCAACCAGTTTTTTGAAGTTTAACTAGATTTGTTTTTTTTTTGTTTTTCATACCAGGGATCGAACTCAGGACCTTGCACTTATGAGGCAGGCATTGGAACCACTGAGATAAAACCCCAGTCCCTAGATTTGCTTTTAGAACTGGAGTCTTTCAGAAAATAAGACACTTAAGCAGCTCTTACCTCATCAGAACCTGATCCAAAAATCAGCAAGTCAAAAGGGATTGCTGCAACCATGTCAATCAGGAACCAGCCTTTGAAGTAGTGAATTGCTATTTTGGCAGGGTCACTTACCACTTCTTCATTCTGATTTACATATGTTGTTCTGAAGTTTATTAGAATATCTATGATAAACATAATATCCACAATCAAGTCTACCACATTCAAAGGGCTACAAGAATAGCCACATTCTCGTCTTTTCTGCTCTTCTCTGTCATTGAGGAGAAAGGCCGCAGAGTAGGGCGTGAATATTGCAGTGTATATAACCAGGAGGAGAATAAGCCAGTCCCAGACTGCCTTGAAGGGGCTGTAGTGCAATATTGTAAATTTGTTGATGCGTGGTGTCTGCAGTTTATATTCTGGCAGGACATCTGCTCCCAAAGAAAGAACCTGAACATAAAGAAAACCATATATTATTGTCATTTTAAATTGTCACTATTTAATCTAGTAATCTTACAAAATATTAAGATAATTATATAGCAAAATCTATTGGAAAGGATTTATGTAATCTTGAAGTATGTATGTGAAGCACACTACATTTAGGTGAATTCATATAAACCTGTAATATGTGGAATGTTTGGTTCAAGAAAAACCTCACTGGTATTTCTTAATAAATCTGATTTTCACTGAAAAATAATGAATATTATTCTTGAGACAAGGGGGAATAGTTATTATTCCTTTGAAATATAGTACTTCAAAAGAAATAAAAATATGATTATTTTTAGAAATCATAAAATCAGTTTTGAAATGTGAGTAATAATTCAGTTTCCAAATCTAGGAAAGGATTGGCTGTAATGGATAGAAATATAGGGGGATCCAGGGTCATATTTGATTTAAATATTTTTACCATATAATTTAAACTGGATAAATTAAACATAACTCATTCAAATATGTAATGAAGTAGTTTTTCTACCTATAATTTATTTTTAACATGGGGTTGGGGAAAGGCAAATGAGATTAAAATAAAGGAGTGCTTTCTCTAAATGATGGCAGGGTATTTTATATTCGGGAACACATATACTTTCACCCAAACTTTCCAGGAAATTTAGAAGAAGGCTGAAAGAAAGAAGCTGAAAGGAGATGTTAAGAATATTGATTGGGAAGTATTCCAAGATTCTTAGTTACCACGTGGTAGATAAGCCTTAAGATATTTTCTACTTAATAAAGCATTATGCAAACTAAAATAGTTCACCATTTAAAGTTTTTGTTTACCTGAAAAAAATGAGAGCTGAACTTGTTATGTCAAATAGACAAATACATTGTTTTGTGGTTTCAGATCAAGTTTCAAAAACAGAAATTAAACAGAAAGGTTATGTAGTTACATAACATGGCACAAGCAAAGTCATTTTAAGACAACTATGAGTTATCATTTTGTGCTATCAGTACCCTGAACGTATTCAATGGTTCTATTTTAAAGTTAATTTTACTAAATACATTATTCTTCTAAGCAGGTAATGGATGCATCACTGACTTTGGAGCATAAACCTGAGGTCATTTCACGTTGGTTAGTCAGAATAGTCTGTGTTTTTGGTAATTCTACCCACTTTGGTTTAATCTTGACTATGACAATGAACTACCTCAGGAAGATTTCACTTTTAAATCTTATTATCTTTGCCATATCTCATAGCTTTTCCCCCATATAGCAAGTTATCATCCTTATCTTAAAAAGAATTTCAGATGTTAACGTCAACTGAGATATAACACAACTTTTAAATTAACTCAAGAATTCATCTACGATAAACAAAACTGCTTTTAGATAATAGTTAAACTGATTTAACTAGGTTTGGAAAAAATAGTCCATTCCAATGATTTAATAAACCCCAAGTAAAGCTGAATCACTCAGTTTTTGGAGGAAATAGGGGTTTATCTTAAGCTATTGTGAGAAGGAAGAGCTTATTTTTTGAAAAGCAGAAATATGAAAAATAAAGTGAATTCATTATTTATGAAATATTAAAATCCTTAGAATCCAAGATATATATTTAAGTACACAATTTGAAAATTCAAATAGGGAAAATTTTGAATTATCCGTCATTTAATAAAATACAGATTAATGTCTACACTGGACTTTCTGATCCCACTGTGATTGGTACAGAAGATCAGTGTGTGACATTTTGGTCTGGAAGAACAGACGGATCATATCTTAAGGTGCCTTTCTGAAATGTAATCTTCCTTTCTCAAAAACCAGGGATTTCTCAGTTTGTACATAAAATCTAAAACCTTGTTTTGTCTTTCAAAGCCAACTCCAAATATGTACCTGTTATATCTTTCCAGTTTCTTTCCCAGTAAACTTCTCTATAAGTACTGAGTGCTCTAGTGGAATAATACTATTTTCAGCTGCTTATATCTTTCTAAATCCTTAAATCCACAAATTTCTCTTATTAAAAGGGGGAATGTAGCCATCAAAAGAGAACAAAAAATCATTTTTTAAAGACAGAGACATTTGTCTGAGCTTGCTCACCATTTAAGTGACATGCTTCTGGTATCAACTTCCCACATCAGGCAATTTGAAGATCTGGTCTGCCAGAAGTGTACATTAGAATGTATGAAGCACCTTGAAATCTCCCCTGAGAAGTGAAAACTGGCTGGAAGTCCTTCTATCCTACATACATAGATGTTTATTTAACATGTAGATGACCATTGTGCTAAGAGCTGGATACTGAAAAATGGAGAAGACACTCTTCTTGACATCATGGAGTTCATGACTTTCTCTTGAAAGTCAGATGGGTAGAAAAATAATAGCTCCGTTGAGGTCCCCACTTCACTCAGTATCTGAATTTGGCAGTGGAGCTGATGTGAGAGAGAGATCTTCATAAGAGACTTTTAGGAAAAATGACATTTGAACTGAGACTTTAAACAAAAGTTAGATGTGAAAGCAGCTGAGGTATGAGGAAGTTGAAAGGGAAGAATATCACAAGAAGAGGAGATGGAATAAACAAAGAAAAAGAAATATAAAATAGTATGTTGTGTGTTGGGGAATTGTAAGCAACCTTGTTTTGCTAAAGGATAAGACAGAAGGGAAACAGTTGGGGGAAGAGAGTTGTAGAGAGGGCAGGGCCAGGATGCTGAAGGTCTAATGTGAAGCAATGGAGACCTCAACTTTAAGCCTTAAATGAAGGTTTTTCACACTTGAATAACACAGGAACTCCTTTTAAAGATAAAGGCAATCATTCCATAACCCTAATAATTATTTTTTATTCCTATTTGTAATGTTCAGAAATAAAACTAAGTTAAAACATTTTATACTTACTCTTCTCAACATAACTGTTATGGGTTAACCTGTGTGCCCCCAAAATGTGGAAGTCCTCATCTCCAGTACTTGTGAATGTGACCTTATTTGAAAGTAGTATCCTTGGAGATATAATTAAGTTAAGATGAGGTCATAAAGGTTTGGAGTAGGCCCTAATCCATTAAATGACCTCCTTAAAAGAAGAGAAATTTGGATACAGAAACACAAAGACATGCAGGGAGCATCTCACATGGCAATAGAAGCAGAAACTGCAAACAAGGGAAAGCCAAGGATTGCCTGCAGCCATCAGAACCTAGAAGAGAAGTTTGAAACAGATTTTCCTTCAGAATCTCCTGAAGAACTAACCTTGCCAACACCTCAGATTTGAACCCTAGAATGCCAGTATTTTAAGATACCTAGTACTTAATTACTGCAGCCTTAAGAAACTAATACAATAATAAAATGAAAACAAATCATAGAACATTTATGAAATCAATGAATTGAAACTATTATCACTAATTTAATATTTGAGAATTCTCTAGCTCATAAAGAATTGAATTTTGGATATTTTTTATAGTTTAATAATAGGTAATTTTTTTCTTTTATAACCTCAATCTCTGTTTGCAACATAGTCAAAATAGTGTTAAAAATCCAATATTTAATTATTATGTTAGGGTAATCTAACCTAATCCCTAAAGTAAACCATTCTACTAGGCTTTGACAGCCAATTTAAATGGTATTAGTTTATAACTCTATAAGAGGTTTTGTTTACTTGAAGTTAACACTAGCTTTAGGGCATTATTGACTTCTACGTTAAGTGATTAGTGATTATTTAATCCAATTTTCTCTGGAACTGGGTTTAAAATGTAGTTTATCTGTTATATTCCAATATATCTATTCCTTCAGAACTATTCCAATTTTTTATCTATAGTAGTGTGTGTTTTGAATGGGTAGTAATCGGTATGTTCTAGTACAAGATCTTTTAATCTCTGCATGGCTGTGTATATATTATATGATTATGAAATCATCATGTGACTTTTACTCTTCAAATAACTTCAACAAATTTTATTTATATAGCTTGCTTAGGGATCATGAGGTCTCACTATAAATACGAATGTAGCCTTGAGCACCGAAGCCATGAGGACAAGACATACTTCAGAAGTAAATGCCTATAAGGATTTAAGGATTAGGATTAGGCAAGCATTTCTTTTCTTCCAGCTCCATTAATAACAAGTTTTGCCAGAGTCAGGAAAGGTAATAGAAGTCTCAGAAGCCTCAATAAAGTTGATAACAGAGGAAAGAATATTAGTCTGTAAATATGACATTCTGAGTTTGAATTCTAGGTATGATATTTTGGTAAGTTATCAATTTCTCTGGATCTTAGTTTTTTCCAATGTGTGATGAGGATTATAATCTTTCCCCAAATCACCTGTCTACATAGAGGTAGTGTATCACAACAGATAATTTCTATAAAATTAGGTAACAAAATGGGAAATGTCTACATGCATATAATGTATTTTCTTTATTGTTTAGCTCTCTAGGGTTACTTGTTTATATCTTGTCTCAAAAAAACCAACTATCTCTAAAGTATTTATGAACCAATTTGAGAAAGTTAAGAATTGATTGGATATTGATAATATTAATTATTTTACTTTTCTATTCTTTATAATAAACTAAGTCAAAATTGTGTGAATTTATAGTTCAGCAACTTAGGCAGAGCATGGTTGGTAACATTTCTGCTCCACACAATGTCAACTGAACTTAGTGATATTTAGCTGGTGTTTGAGTGGGTGTGGAAATTCCAAGAAGGTTTCAGCCCCATCTAAATAAATACACACACACACACACACACACACACACACACACACACATTCTCTCCTTTGGGCTCTTCAGCAGGGTAATGAGATGACTTATATGGAGGCTCAGTACTCACAAGAGATGTAGAAATTTCTAATTCTCTCAAAATTCAGATCTGGAATTACTATAGCATGATTTCTTCCATAATCTATTGGCCAAACAGAGTAGGCCATCCCAGATTTTTTAAAAAGTGGAACATTCCTTATCATTTAATAGAAGACTGACATGAATGTGGAAGGGAAGAAATCAATTATGGTGAGTTTGGAGACAAAGAATTGAAGAAATTACTGACAATTATACTTTTAGC